CCACCCCTGCTTTGTGCCAGCCCTGGAGGACCAGCCCCCCATTTTGGGCCAGGATGGAGGGTCCCCACTGCAGGGAGAGGGGTTGGGGCTGTTGAGCAGCTGCCGTTTGAATTCAGCTGCTAAATGCTTCCATGTCGGATCCGGCTGCTGCCCCCCGCAGCTCCCCAACCCTCCGCGGGCTCAGCCTGGGTGGGCTGCACCCGTCACCACCCGGCCCTTGGGGACACCAGGATTTGGGGTTTCCCTCATCCCATGGTTGCAGGGAGGAGGCAGCATCTCCAGCCAGGAATGAGTCCTGCAATATATCCATCCAAAATCACAGCCCTGGGATGATGCAGCGACTCCGTGTCAGAGCTGGGAGGGGTCCTGCTTGGCCCCCACCGCTGCCCCTCACCCACCACCTCTCCTTTTGTCCCCACAGATGTTGATGAATGCAGCATCAACCGGGGGGGCTGCAAATTTGGCTGCATCAACACACCCGGTAGCTACCAGTGTACCTGTCCCGCCGGCTGCAAGCTGCACTGGAACAAAAAGGACTGTATAGGTACGACAGGGCTGGGGACACCCCAGTATAACCTGGACATCCCCCAGTCAGAGGGTCCCGATGCCCCATGGCCCCTCCATCCCTTGGGACTGTTGGGATTAAGGTCAGGGTGAGGGGAGCAGGGACTTTTTGAGGCAGGGACTTGGGACGGGGAACATCAAAAGGGTTTGATTTAAGTTCCACAAAGCAGATGGCTTTGGGTTTGGGGGATCCCAGCACAAGGATGCTCTGGTGCAGACTGGTTTTGGCCCCATGTCCATCTCAGGTGGGTCTGGATGGGAAGTGCTGTGAGGTGTTGCCCTGCTCCCTCTGCCCTCGGTCGTCTTGTTGGTTTTTTGACCACGCTTAGGGCTGGCCATGAGCTTTTGCACCAGGAAGTGTCCCTAAGGGGACTGTTTCCATGACCCTGGCTCTGCCCTGGTACCCAACTGCCCCCCGAAAAAGAAATCCCATCAATCATATCTCCAAGGAGGAACTGGGAGGATTGGGATGCTGGTCCAGGGTCCCCGTGCTGTGCTCTGGTGAATTCCCCCATGACCTGGGAGGGTGCAGGGGTCCCTCGTGGATCCCTGGGCTGTGCCAGCCACGGGCATCCCCGTTTGTCATCACCAGCCGGCGCGTGTCCCTCAGAGCTAGTGAAATGCCTGCCAGGTTCAGTGCCACCACGGGCCACCCTCACCTGCAACAAGACGGGCAAGAAGGACAGCTGTGCCCTCACCTGTGCCTCCAAGGCTCGATTCCTGCCAGGTACCAGCCCCAGTGCCACCGCCGGGACGGGCAGGGGGGTCCCCGTGTCTCTGCGTGGCACAAAATGTGGGGGGAGAGGAGCGGCCACGCAGCCAGGGTGCAGGGTGAGGGAGGGAGGTGGTGGCTCTGGGGGGCTCATCGATGGGTGTAGATCTGTGGGACGGGTCCCTGGCGCAGGATCCCCTTGGTGGGGTGCTGGGCATTGTCCCCCCCATGGCAGTAGAGCATCTCAGGGCAGTCACTCTGGCCCTGGGGTGCCCACGGCCACCACAGGCCAGGTTGTCCCACGCTGGGGTTGTTGAGCACCTGCTTTTTCTTTTAGAGACTGTCGCCGCGCCAATCAAACAAAAAGCTTCCTTCAAGATCAAGGATGCCAAGTGCCACCTGCACCCGCGGGCCAAGGGCAAGCAGGATGAGGCCGGGAGGGCTGGGCCACAAGGTGAGGTGTCCTGGGGTGCCCACGGCCACCACAGGCCAGGTTGTCCCACGCTGGGGTTGTTGAGCACCTGCTTTTTCTTTTAGAGACTGTCGCCGCGCCAATCAAACAAAAAGCTTCCTTCAAGATCAAGGATGCCAAGTGCCACCTGCACCCGCGGGCCAAGGGCAAGCAGGATGAGGCCGGGAGGGCTGGGCCACAAGGTGAGGTGTGATGGCAGGGGGGTGGTGGGACTGCCTGGCCCCCCAGGAGAAAACGGGGTGCTGACTTCTCCTCACACGCAGGTGGTTCGGCACCCTGCTCCGACTGCCAGGTCACCTTTGTCAACCTCAAGTGTGACTCATCCAAGAAGGGGAAGGGCCGCCGGGCTCGCAACTCCTCCAACAAGGAGGTGACACGCATCACGCTGGAGTTTGAGGCAGAGATCAAACCGGAGGAGATCACAGGTGTGCACAGAGCTGGCTTGGCCTGTCTCAGGTGCAGGCAGGGGTGGTGGGACCAGGTGTATGATGATGGGACCAAAGGGACAGTGATGGGAGCAGAGGGATGGTGGTGGGACCAGGAGGATAGTGATGGGACCAAAGGGATGGTGATGGGACTAAAGGGATGGTGGTGAGACCAGGAGGATAGTGATGGGACCAAAGGGATGGTGATGGGACTAAAGGGAATAGTGGTGGGACCAGGAAGATAGTGATGGGACCAAAGGGATTGTGATGGGACTAAAGGGATGGTGATGAGACGAAAAGGATGGTGGTGTGACCAGGGTGATGGTGATGGGACTAAAAGGATGGTGATGAGACCAGGGGGATGGTGATGGGACTAAAGGGATGGTGATGAGACGAAAAGGATGGTGGTGTGACCAGGGTGATGGTGATGGGACTAAAAGGATGGTGATGAGACCAGGGGGATGGTGATGGGACTAAAGGGATGGTGATGGGACCAAAGGGATAGTGGTGGGAACAGAGAGACAGTGGTGGGACCAGGGAGATGGTGCCATCCCCATGCAGCAAGGAGAGCTGAACCAGTCCTCATCCCACACTGGACTGGGATGTGCTGGGTAGCACTTACAACCAAACATTTGGGAGATGGTTTTAATCCTGCTGGGTTGTCTTCTCCATCCCTCCCTTCTTACTGCCCCCCCCCCCCACAGCCAGCTGTAACCTGCACTGCCTGCGACAGAGGGTGGAGAAGAAGCTCAAGTCGGCCATCAAAGCCTTGAAGAAATCCATCAACCAGGAGCGGTTCCTGCTCCGCTTCGCCGGGATGGAGTACGAGGTGGCGAGGAAGCTGAGCGTGGCCCCGGAGAGGCAGGAGAGCTGTGGGCCAGGCCAGCAGCGCCTGGGCGGCAAGTGTGGTAAGGAACATCGTGGGGTGCCCAGGGTGGGGGACCAGCCGTGTCCCCCTCGCTGGTGACAACCCCCCAACCGCATCACTGACGTCCCCCCCCGGTTCTCAGTTAGCTGCTCACAGGGAACGTATTACCACGGGCAGACGGAGCAGTGTGTCCCCTGTCCCCCCGGCACCTACCAGGAGAAGGAAGGACAGCTCTCCTGTGACCTGTGTCCTCGTGGTGATGCTTTTGGACCAGTGGGAGCCACCAACATCACTGGCTGCACGGGTGAGGGGGACACAGAGAGGGGCTGGGAGGCACGCTTGGGTGATGTCCAGGGCTGCAACCTCAACCATCAGCCATCCAGAAGAGGGGAATGCCCTGAGCATCTCCAGGACCCACAGAAGTTGTGATTTTCATGGAATCATAGAATAGTTTGGTTGGAA